CCCTCCCCCCCCCCCTCTCCCTCCTCTCTCCCTTTTCCCTTTTTCTTCCTCTCCCTTTTCCCTTTTCCTCCCTTCCTCTCCTTCCCTCCTCTCCCTTTTCTTCCCTCCTCTCCCTTTTCTTCTTCCTCTCCCTTTTCCCTTTTCCTCCCTTCCTCTCCTTCCCTCCTCTCCCTTTTCTTCCCTCCTCTCCCTTTTCTTCCCTCCTCTTCCCTTTCTTTTCTTCCCTCCTCTTCCCTTTCTTTTCTTCCCTCCTCTTCCCTTCCTTTCCTTCCCTTCCCTTCCCTTCCCTTCCCTTCCCTTCAGTATCTTTCAATCTTTTGTAATTTCCTTAATGGGACCTGTTAGCGAAAAATACCCTTTGACAGGATCTGGAAAAGATTCAATGAGGAATACACTTTTAGAATAATTTTCTACAAAAATTGCAAAAAGGACTGATGTGTTTTTGCAAGAATTTTGAAAAGAACTCATCAGTCCATTCTTAGCAACTCAAGGCATGCTCATGCTAGCCCTCTTAAACCCGTTTACACCACTACTCTTAAATATTGCCCAGATTTTATTTATATAGCATGGCTTTTGGTGGCCCTGCTGGAGCTTTTGGTGGCCTTTCCATGGCTTTTGGTGGTCCTGCTGGAGCTTTTGGTGGCCCTTCCATGGCTTTTGGTGGCCCTTCCATGGCTTTTGGTGGCCCTGCTGGAGCTCTTGGTGGCCCTTCCAGGGCTTTTGGTGGCCCTTCAGGGAGGGTTTGGCACATTCCAGCTCCCAACAGTGAGAAACAGGAGCTGAGGGCAGAGCCCTCCCCTCTGGTGTGAGATAAAGGCGCTTAAAAAAGCAGATTTGCCCTTAAAGAAGAAATTCAGAATGAAAAAAAATTATAAGTTTTCTAAATCAGTGGTGGAATTAGTCAAATAAAACTTGGTCTTGGCACCCAAAATGGCTCCGAGGTCAATGGAGACAATTCTGCCGTTAAATCCTAAGCCTTTCTGATGTTTCTCCAAAATCGAAGCTTTCTCCAAAACCAAATGAAAATCAGAGCTTGCTCCAAAATTGAAATTACGACGACGACAACCTGATGGGTTTTGGGCAAAACCGTTCGCGGTAAAAAGGTGTGAATTTGCTCAAAAAGCCCTTCCTTTCCCCTCCTGGAGGGGAGGGTGGGAGGGGAGGAGACCCTTTAAATAATAATAATAATAATATTTGAATTATAAATATTAATATATTAAGAATATATAAATATTATAATATTGAATAATAATTTAAATGAAGCCTTGCTTTAACGATCCCATCTTAATTATTTAATAGGGAGTAACAACAGGGCTGGGGGGACACCCAGGTCCGATCCCCGACTCCTCGGACTCTAATTTGAGGTTTTTCCATCCCTGGATCCTGATTTTTCCCCTTTTTTCCCCCCTTTTTTTCCCCCTCCCTGGCAGATCAAAGGGCTGGAGTGGCTGGTGTCCCTGTACAACAACAACCTGAACGGGATCTTGGCCGACGAGATGGGGTTGGGCAAGACCATCCAGACCATCGCGTTGATCACATACCTCATGGAGCACAAGCGCATCAACGGGCCCTTCCTCATCATCGTACCTCTCTCGTACGTGTCCTCCTCCTCCTCCTCCTCCTCCAAGCTCTCCCCTCGTTTGGTACCATCAGCCAACTTGCTGAGGATACACTCTGTCCCCTCGTCAAGGTCGTTTATGAATCTGTTGAACAAAATTGGACCAAGTGTTGACCCCTGGGGGGACACCACTGATCCCAGGCCTCCAACTTGATCCTTGTAGGTTTTGTGTCAAAGGAGAGGAATTCCAGTGGGTGGCGTTGGCTTTTGTCAAAATCAGACCCAATTTGGTGAAAATTACCCCTACCCCAGCACCGATGGGGGAGGTTTCTCCAAAGGAACATCTTTTTTATCTCCCATTTCAACCCCCAGGAACGCAAAGCAAGACGTGGACGACGAATACGGGGTGTCTCAGGCCCTGGCCCGGGGGCTCCAGTCCTACTACGCGGTGGCCCACGCCGTCACCGAGAGGGTGGACAAACAGTCCACGCTGATGGTCAACGGCGTCCTCAAGCAGTACCAGGTGAGAGGGCTGTTGGAGGCTTTTGGTGGCCCTGCTGGAGCTTTTGGTGGCCCTGCTGGAGCTTTTGGTGGCCCTGCTGGAGCTTTTGGTGGCCCTTCCAGGACTTTTGGTGGCCCTTCCAGGACTTTTGGTGGCCCTTCCACAGCTTTTGGTGGCCCTTCCACAGCTTTTGGTGGCCCTTCCACGGCTTTTGGTGGCCCTTCCATGGCTTTTGGTGGCCCTTCCATGGCTTTTGGTGGCCCTGCTGGAGCTCTTGGTGGCCCTTCCAGGGCTTTTGGTGGCCCTTCAGGGAGGGTTTGGCACATTCCAGCTCCCAACAGTGAGAAACAGGAGCTGAGGGCAGAGCCCTCCCCTCTGGTGTGAGATAAAGGCGCTTAAAAAAGCAGATTTGCCCTTAAAGAAGAAATTCAGACTGAAAAAAAATTATAAGTTTTCTAAATCAGTGGTGGAATTAGTCAAATAAAACTTGGTCTTGGCACCCAAAATGGCTCCGAGGTCAATGGAGACAATTCTGCCGTTAAATCCTAAGCCTTTCTGATGTTTCTCCAAAATCGAAGCTTTCTCCAAAACCAAATGAAAATCAGAGCTTGCTCCAAAATTGAAATTACGACGACGACAACCTGATGGGTTTTGGGCAAAACCGTTCGCGGTAAAAAGGTGTGAATTTGCTCAAAAAGCCCTTCCTTTCCCCTCCTGGAGGGGAGGGTGGGAGGGGAGGAGACCCTTTAAATAATAATAATAATAATATTTGAATTATAAATATTAATATATTAAGAATATATAAATATTATAATATTGAATAATAATTTAAATGAAGCCTTGCTTTAACGATCCCATCTTAATTATTTAATAGGGAGTAACAACAGGGCTGGGGGGACACCCAGGTCTGATCCCCGACTCCTCGGACTCTAATTTGAGGTTTTTCCATCCCTGGATCCTGATTTTTCCCCTTTTTTCCCCCTTTTTTTCCCCCTCCCTGGCAGATCAAAGGGCTGGAGTGGCTGGTGTCCTTGTACAACAACAACCTGAACGGGATCTTGGCCGACGAGATGGGGTTGGGCAAGACCATCCAGACCATCGCGTTGATCACATACCTCATGGAGCACAAGCGCATCAACGGGCCCTTCCTCATCATCGTACCTCTCTCGTACGTGTCCTCCTCCTCCTCCTCCTCCTCCAAGCTCTCCCCTCCCCCTCCTGCAAGGGGGGCACCGCTTTTACCCTTTCTCTCTGGTTTTTCCCCCAGAACTTTGTCGAATTGGGCCTATGAGTTCGACAAGTGGGCGCCTTCGGTGGTGAAGGTCTCCTACAAGGCAAGTATCGGCCTTGATGTCTCCAGGTTGGTTTCACAGAATGATGTGGGGTGGGAAGGGACCTTCTGGAGGTCGTCTCCTCCAACCTCCCCCCAGCCAGAGCAGGTCCCATCCAGGGGGGGTTGGAATATCTCCAGAGATGGAGACCCACCCCACCTCTCTGGGCAGCCTCTTCCAGGGCTCTGCCACTTTCAAAATTTCCTCCTCATGGAGATGCTCCAACCCCTCCATCATCTTTGTTGCCCTACGCTGGACTCTCTCCAGCAGTTCCCTGTCCCTCTTGAACTGGGGAGCCCAGAACTCTTCTCTTCTCCAGACTCCAAAGCCCCAAGTCCCTCAGCCTTTCTTCATCAGAGAGATGCTCCAGCCCCTCATCATCTTCATAGCCCTTTGCTGGACCCTCTCCACCAGTTCCCTCTCCTTCTGGAACTGGGGAGCCCACAACTGGTCCCAGTGCTCCAGATGGGGCAGAGCAGAGTGGGGGGGATGACCTCCCTTGAGGTTCTCCACACTCTTCCTGATGACCATTGGCCTCCTTGGCCATCAGGGCACGTTGGTGGCTCATGGTCACCCCGTTGTCCCCCAGGACCCCCAGATCCTTCTCCTCAGAGCTTCTCCCCAGCAGGTCACCCCCAACACTTGCCCTTGGTGGAACTTCATGAGGTTCCTCTGCCCAACTCTCTGTGTGTCCAGGTCTCTCTGGATGGTGGCCCAGCCTTTGATCCCTGTAGGTTTTGTGTCAAAGGAGAGAAGTTCAGTGGGTGGCGTTGGCTTTTGTCAAAATCAGACCCAATTTGGTGAAAATTACCCCTACCCCAGCACCGATGGGGGAGGTTTCTCCAAAGGAACATCTTTTTTATCTCCCATTTCAACCCCCAGGAACGCAAAGCAAGACGTGGACGACGAATACGGGGTGTCTCAGGCCCTGGCCCGGGGGCTCCAGTCCTACTACGCGGTGGCCCACGCCGTCACCGAGAGGGTGGACAAACAGTCCACGCTGATGGTCAACGGCGTCCTCAAGCAGTACCAGGTGAGAGGGCTGTTGGAGGCTTTTGGTGGCCCTTCCTCAGCTCCGGAGCGGGAAATTCAACGTCTTGCTCACCACCTACGAGTACATCATCAAAGACAAGCACATCTTGGCCAAGGTGAGTCCCTCCTCGGCGTCATTTGGGCTGCGCCGACGGCTCGTCCACCAAAAAATCGGGATTGAGATGGTCCTGGTCTGAAAAAATCCTGAGATTTTATCTCTGGAGTCTCCTCGTCGTGGCAGGAGCTGCCTCTTCCTCTCGGCGTTCCCGAGGTTTTGGCTCCTGGGATACAGCACGTCCCTCTGTGGATCCCTCCTTGGATCCCTCCCGAGGCCCAGGATCCCTCCCGAGACCTGGGATCTCTCTGTGGATCCCTCATGGAGGCCTGGATCCCTCCATGGATCCCTCCCGAGACGTAGGATCTCTCTGTGGATCCCTCACGAAGGTCTGGGATCTCTCTGTGGATCCCTCCTTGGATCCCTCCCGAAGCCCAGGATCCCTCCCGAGACGTAGGATCTCTCTGTGGATCCCTCCTTGGATCCCTCCCGAAGCCCAGGATCCCTCCCGAGACGTAGGATCTCTCTGTGGATCCCTCCTTGGATCCCTCCCGAAGCCCAGGATCCCTCCCGAGACGTAGGATCTCTCTGTGGATCCCTCCTTGGATCCCTCCCGAAGCCCAGGATCCCTCCCGAGACGTAGGATCTCTCTGTGGATCCCTCCTTGGATCCCTCCCGAGACCTGGGATCTCTATGGATCCCTCACAGAGGCCTGGATCCCTCCCAAGGCCCAGGATCTCTCCGTGGATCCCTCTGTGGATCCTCCCAGAGGCCCGGGATCCCTCCATGGATCCTTCCCAAGATGGGATCTCTGCTTGGATCCCTCCCGAAGCCCAGGATCCCTCCCAAAGACCTGGGATCTCTATGGATCCCTCCCAGAGGCCCAGGATCCCTCTGTGGATCCCTCCCGACACCTGGGATCTCTCCTTGGATCCTCCCGGAGGCCTGAGAACCCTCCATGGATCCCTCTTTGGATCCCTCCCAAAGGCCAGGATCCCTCCTGAAGCCTGAGATCCCCCAGAGGCCTTAGATCTCTATGTGGATCCCTCCTGGAGGTCCAAGTTCCATCTGGAGCCTTGAGATCTCTCCTTGGTTCCCTCCTGGAGAACTGGGATCTCTCTGTGGATCCCTCCTGGAGGTCCAAGTTCCATCTGGAGCCCTGAGATCTCTCCTTGGTTCCCTCCTGGAGGTCTGAGGTCCATCTGGAGTCTTGAGATCTCTCCTTGGTTCCCTCCTGGAGGCATGGGTTCCATCTGGAGCCTTGAGATCTCTCCTTGGTTCCTTCCTGGAGAACTGGGATCTCTGTGGATCCCTCCTGGAGAACTGGGATCTCTCCATGGACCCCCCCAAGCCCTATCTCCACCATCGGTGGGATCCTCAGGCCGTGGCCTGTTCCACCACGGCGCCAGCAGCCACCATCCCTCACCTTCTTCCTCCTCTTCCTCCCCCAGATCCGTTGGAAGTACATGATCGTGGACGAGGGCCACCGCATGAAGAACCACCACTGCAAGCTCACCCAGGTCCTCAACACCCACTACGTGGCCCCGCGGCGGCTGCTGCTGACGGGGACCCCCCTGCAGAACAAGCTGCCCGAGCTCTGGGCCCTCCTCAACTTCCTCCTCCCCACCATCTTCAAGAGCTGCAGCACCTTCGAGCAGTGGTTCAACGCCCCCTTCGCCATGACGGGCGAGAAGGTACGGCCTCCACCCCTTGGTGGCTGCCAGGGACGGGCCTCTTGGGTTCCTTTTTGGGTCCCCCTTTTGGGTCCCCTTTTTTTGGGTGTCCATTTGGGGTCCCTTTTTGGTCCCTTCTTGGGTGCCTTTTTGGGTCCCCTTTTGGGTGCCTTTCTGGGTCCCCTTTTAGGTGCCTTCTGGGTCTTTTTTTGGGTCCCCTTCTTGGTCCCTTCTTGGGTGCCTTTGGATGTCTTTTTGGGTCCCCACCCCTCCCAGCTTGGTGTCACCAGCAAGTTTGACCGGGCTCCTTCACCAGTTTCCCTTTTCCTCCTCCCTCTCCAACAATATTCCCGTTATCCCGAGGAAGCTGGGACATTTTCCTGGCCCTAAAGCCATAAAAACCTTCATTTTTCATTCCCTTGAACGGCAGCAGGAATCCAGCTCCCACCCCCCACCTTTCTGGTTCCAAAGGGACCATCCTGGCTCCCACCACCTCTTTGCTTTTATTTTTTTTTCCTTTCTCCTGGAAATCCCTCTCTGTTTTAACGTGGCTGTTTGGAATTTCTTCTCCTCCCTCCCCAGGGCTCCCCAGCAGCGAGACGGGCGTTCGTACCTCAGCTCCGGAGCGGGAAATTCAACGTCTTGCTCACCACCTACGAGTACATCATCAAAGACAAGCACATCTTGGCCAAGGTGAGTCCCTCCTCGGCGTCATTTGGGCTGCGCCGACGGCTCGTCCACCAAAAAATCGGGATTGAGATGGTCCTGGTCTGAAAAAATCCTGAGATTTTATCTCTGGAGTCTCCTCGTCGTGGCAGGAGCTGCCTCTTCCTCTCGGCGTTCCCGAGGTTTTGGCTCCTGGGATACAGCACGTCCCTCTGTGGATCCCTCCTTGGATCCCTCCCGAGGCCCAGGATCCCTCCCGAGACCTGGGATCTCTCTGTGGATCCCTCATGGAGGCCTGGATCCCTCCATGGATCCCTCCCGAGACGTAGGATCTCTCTGTGGATCCCTCACAAAGGTCTGGAATCTCTCCATGGATTTCTCTTTGGATCCCTCCTTGAGGTCTGGGATCCCTCCTTGGATCCCTCCTGAGGCCCAGGATCCCTCCCGAGACCTGGGAACTCTCTGTGGATCCCTCCTGGAGACCTGGGATCTCTGTGGATCCCTCACAGAGGCCTGGATCCCTCCCGAGATGTAGGATCTCTCTGTGGATCCCTCACGAAGGTCTGGGATCTCTCTGTGGATTTCTCTTTGGATCCCTCCTTGGATCCCTCCCGAAGCCCAGGATCCCTTCTGAGACCTGGGATCTCTATGGATCCCTCACAGAGGCCTGGATCCCTCCCAAGGCCCAGGATCTCTCCGTGGATCCCTCTGTGGATCCTCCCAGAGGCCCGGGATCCCTCCATGGATCCTTCCCAAGATGGGATCTCTGCTTGGATCCCTCCCGAAGCCCAGGATCCCTCCCAAAGACCTGGGATCTCTATGGATCCCTCCCAGAGGCCCAGGATCCCTCTGTGGATCCCTCCCGACACCTGGGATCTCTCCTTGGATCCTCCCGGAGGCCTGAGAACCCTCCATGGATCCCTCTTTGGATCCCTCCCAAAGGCCAGGATCCCTCCTGAAGCCTGAGATCCCCCAGAGGCCTTAGATCTCTATGTGGATCCCTCCTGGAGGTCCAAGTTCCATCTGGAGCCTTGAGATCTCTCCTTGGTTCCCTCCTGGAGAACTGGGATCTCTCTGTGGATCCCTCCTGGAGGTCCAAGTTCCATCTGGAGCCCTGAGATCTCTCCTTGGTTCCCTCCTGGAGGTCTGAGGTCCATCTGGAGTCTTGAGATCTCTCCTTGGTTCCCTCCTGGAGGCATGGGTTCCATCTGGAGCCTTGAGATCTCTCCTTGGTTCCTTCCTGGAGAACTGGGATCTCTGTGGATCCCTCCTGGAGAACTGGGATCTCTCCATGGACCCCCCCAAGCCCTATCTCCACCATCGGTGGGATCCTCAGGCCGTGGCCTGTTCCACCACGGCGCCAGCAGCCACCATCCCTCACCTTCTTCCTCCTCTTCCTCCCCCAGATCCGTTGGAAGTACATGATCGTGGACGAGGGCCACCGCATGAAGAACCACCACTGCAAGCTCACCCAGGTCCTCAACACCCACTACGTGGCCCCGCGGCGGCTGCTGCTGACGGGGACCCCCCTGCAGAACAAGCTGCCCGAGCTCTGGGCCCTCCTCAACTTCCTCCTCCCCACCATCTTCAAGAGCTGCAGCACCTTCGAGCAGTGGTTCAACGCCCCCTTCGCCATGACGGGCGAGAAGGTACGGCCTCCACCCCTTGGTGGCTGCCAGGGACGGGCCTCTTGGGTTCCTTTTTGGGTCCCCCTTTTGGGTCCCCTTTTTTTGGGTGTCCATTTGGGGTCCCTTTTTGGTCCCTTCTTGGGTGCCTTTTTGGGTCCCCTTTTGGGTGCCTTTCTGGGTCCCCTTTTAGGTGCCTTCTGGGTCTTTTTTTGGGTCCCCTTCTTGGTCCCTTCTTGGGTGCCTTTGGATGTCTTTTTGGGTCCCCTTTTTTTGGGTCCCTTTTGGGTGCCTTCTGGGTCTTATTTTGGGTCCCCTTTTGGGTGCCTTTCTGGGTCCCCTTTTAGGTGCCTTCTGGGTCTTTTTTTGGGTCCCCTTCTTGGTCCCTTCTTGGGTGCCTTTGGATGTCTTTTTGGGTCCCTTTTGGGTCCCCTTTTTTTGGGTCCCTTTTTGGGTCCGTTCTTGG